GGCAGTTCCATCAGCTGACCATAGAAATGATTGAGGGCTGGAACATCCAATGATCATCTCTATGGTCTAAGAAACCGAAATCAATGATTATTTTTTCACTTCAGGTTTCGCCAGGATGTAAATAAGCCATTACTGGATTATGACAGTATAAGATCAAACTGATCTGGGTTTGATCTAATTCTTTGATGGGCAGAGAAGAAATCTAGAGTCTAGCAGACCACAGATCACTCCATGGAGAGCACCTGTCACTGATCTAGCTATCACACAGAATGATATTCATTGAATGTGATAGCCATAAAAAGTGATTTCAAAAATTAAAGATACATTGTAAAAATGAAAATTTTTTAAATAAAATTAATGATAATAAAAATATTAAAGTGCCCCTGTTCCCCCGTACTCAAGCACAAAGGCAAACTCATACGTAGGGTGTGCATGCTTTTGCAAACATGTGAGGTATCACCATGAACACTATAGCAAGAGCAATAATTCTAGCACAAGATATTCTGTGTAACTCTAACCTGTAAATGATTTCAAAGTGTTTCCTATTCATAATTTAATGTACCATAGTTTGTTGCCATTCCAATTTTAAAGCATGACATGTTAGGTATTTCTTTCCTCAGTGCATCATCTTTTATATTTTACCAAACAACTGGGAATTATTTTGTATTTTTGTGCAATAAAATTCTTTACAGTGTATTTTTTCTCCAAAACCATGCATTTGAAAACAAAAAAGAATTGCACCAGTCACCATTTTATTCTTTAGGGCCTCTGATTAAAAAATATATATATAATGTTTGGGGTCATAAGTGATTTTCTAGAAAGAAAAGCATATTTTTACAGGTAGGAGAGAGAAATGTCAGATATGGCCAAGGGCTGAAGTGGTAACTAGCTCCTCCCTCTGCAGACTAGTTACAAACTCTTATTTCTTTATCTATGATCTCCTCACTGTTGCCTCCCTTTATCCAAAATTTTCTTTTACAGCAAGTTAGATTGTATCTTATAACCCCCTCTGTTTATTATTTTTTGCATTTAATTCCCCCTAGGAATACTATATCCATTTCAGTAATTTGGTTTGAAATATGCTTTTGTACTCAAGTTTGTTTCTTGTAAGCAATTTCAGTGAATCTAGCAAGTTAACATGTTGTGTGCTAACATCAAATGAAAATCTGATACTGTCCTCTTTGTCATTTTAATACTGCTATCAAGTCCACTATCTCTTTTCTTTCACCCTCCTATACTTTTAAAAAGATGTCATTTCCCCATGGTGCCATATACAAGTTTTCCAAACTGGGAGCAAATTTTGCTCCCATGGTCTTGCCTTCTCTTTGGATATAAAACTCCTTGTTATATCAGAAATAATTCATTGACAACAGGCCAACCTAATCTTTGAGAAGAGGCCACTTTTCTGATGAAGAAAAGGATTTACTAGTTTTGCTGTGACATGCTTGTATATGCAGAGGTAACATCAACAGGTACTATATAACACTAATTTTCCAAATGTACATTCTTTAACCCATTAATTATATATTTTGCATCTTTAATATAGGGTTTGTTGATCGTCAGGGGCTGCAAAAAACATATATAATTCCCCGATTAGCTGTAACAGAATCTGTGCAACTAATATTGGGTCGTCCCACAGGTTTTATTGGGCCCTTCTCTATTTTTAGCAAATAATATATAACAACTATAAGTGGGGTTGAAAACTGATTAATTCCTTCACTGATTTCCAACAATTCCATTTCTTTTTAATCTTCAGATTATTTAAATCATCTAGAACTATTTAATTAAAAATAGAGATAAGGGGGGCAGGGCCTGAAATGACATGGAAGTGCAAGGGAGTGATGTCATTGCAGCCCAACCATTCAAACAGCCCAGCCCACCTGGTGAAGATGGAAGCACTGGCGGCAGTGACAACGCAATGCTGGAGGGCTTTCTTTTGTACTGTATTTTATAATGTGCTAGTATGCACGCTTTAATGATTTTCTTCAAAGTAAATTTTAACCCTTCATCAAGCACCTTAATTCACTATTGATTACTCCTTTAATAAAGTTAAAGATGGGGTGCTCCCAAACCCATAAAAAATGAAAATGGAGAAAGGATGACAAAAAGTCAAACAAAAATGGAGGACTTCTGGCAGATCAAAGATTAGATGCAGTACTTGGGAAAACATTCTCTTGTTTGAGGAATCTGAACCAAGTTTTGAAGGTTCAAATAGGGCTTCCCACAACAAAGTCTGTTGAGAAATTGTAAAAATTTGAGATAGTATACATTTTAGACTCATGGGTTAAACCTTTCTGTTTTTTGGTAATGTAGGAGCAAGTCAAGCACTTTATTGTTTTGCACTGATACATCCTCACCAAATTCCTAAGGAAACTAAGACTGATCTCAGATTTGGGTATACTTCTCAATGTGCTAGGGGCTATTCTATTTTTAACATTAGGTGCTTACTGATAAACAAACCTAGGTTTATTCTGCAATTGGGGGCCTAATTTGGGATCTTGCTTTAGAATCATCCAATGTTTTTTGAAAATTCATTCCATTTCCTTACATTTACTATAGAACTGTGTAATAAATGTAATATATTTGATGTAATGTTTTTGGTGTTGTTTCTATACTCATGGTACAGTATAGCTGTAAATAGGGTCTATACACCTCTTCTACCAGCTCCTCAGAGAATCTTTTCTCTAATTTTTTTTTCATCAATACATGAGTTTGGTTTTGATCATTTTCAACTAAACAGAACTGTCTCTTGGGAATCATTTGTTTCCATCTCAGATGGTGACATCTTTGATATTGGAGATAGGAGATAAAAGAAATGATGGTATCCCCTACAGAGCTCATAGGTATAGAAAAATGAAAGAACCAGAATCAATCACATGTGTGAAAGACAGGCCCATTATGTTGTAACTGCCATATTCTAATAATGGAATAACCGTAGAAGGGGCACCATTCCATATAATTACTATGTTGTCTGTAAAACAACTGAAAAAGACTATTTAGGGCATAAAGGGATTATTTTTTCGAATGCATTGGGTCTCCCAATAAGCCATTGCAGGATTCAAAATTGGGCACAACATTTACACCCATTTGTTTGTAGTACTATTTGTCAAGAAAAAATAAATATGGGTAAAAAAAAAAATAGTGCAATCAAAAATGAAGTTGGCCTGTGAGGAAATGATTACGAGCATTTAGCCTAATCTCATGTGGTATTGATGTGTACAGAGAACAAACATCCAGCAAGAGCAAGATGTACAAGATGGCTCCTATTGGTAGTATCTAAGATGTGAATGGAATCTCCAAAATATATATATATACAAAAAAAAAGTGTTGCGCAACCCCTTCATGCTCATACTTCTACCTCATCTAATCCAGCTCAAACAGTGCCACTTCTGGGTAGTCATGATGACACCACTAGGTCCCACAATGATGCATTTCTTCATGGTCATGTAACTTTATCAAAGGGATTTTCATGCATGTGCTGGACGCATGAAGATTTTAAAAGGCGCAAATTGTGGATCAAGCATAGATAAAGAGACTACATAAATAGGACTTTTTTGTGTCATCACAATATTTGTATTTCCTATATTTTATATTCATGATGTCACATTAATTAGTGATAACACTTTTTTTGGTATATATACTACTACACATTATTATATATAGAGGAGAGATATCACATTACATTGTTGTAGCAGCAAGCTGCTCATATTCATGTAACGTCAAATCTTGGGTGAGAACCTTCTTCCCTCAGCCAGGTCATTGAAAATGGGTCGTGGATGGGTGTTCCAGCATGACAATGACCCAAGACACACAGCCAAGGCAACAAAGGAGTTGCTCAAGAAGAAGCACATTAAGGTCCTGGAGTGGCCTAGCCAGTCCCCAGACCTTAATCTGATTTAAAATCTGTGGAGGGAGCAGAAAGTTCGAGTTGCCAAACGTCAGCCAGCAAACCTTAATGACTTAACGATCTGCCAAGAGGAGTGGGCCAAAATCCCTCCTGAGATGTGTGCAAACCTGGTGGCCAACTACAGGAAACGTCTGACCTCTATGATTGTCAACAAGGGATTTACCTCCAAGTAGTGTATTTGAAGGGGATTAAATACTTTTTTCCCTGGATTAACATGCAAATCAGTGCATCATTTGTTAGACATGAATTTCTTTTGTATTTTTTGTTGCTATTCTGTCTCTCAGTGTTACAATACACCTACCATTCAATTTTTGGATTGGTAATTTCTTTGTGAGTGGGCAAACATTCAAAATCAGCAGGGGATCAGTAGAGAAAGGCAAATTCTTTTTTAATAATCATATCATCTGTAAGGGCAATATCTACCATGCGCTTAAGCTCCGCGTTATATTTCGTAAGTAGGTCATGGGATTGTTTCATATAGATTTGTTCATTTGTAAGTAGACAATGTGCTTCCTTTAAACCACTTGCCTACAGGGCACGCATACCCCCTTCCTGCCCAGGCTAATTTTCAGCTTTCAGCACTGTCGCACTTTGAATGACAATTGCGCAGTCATGCAACACTGTACCCATATGAACTTTTTATCATTTCTTTGAGGAAGATAGAGCTTTCTTTTGGTGCTATTTAATCACTTCTGGTTTTTTTTTTTTTTTTTATTAAACAAACCAAAAACAATTGAAAATTTTGAAACAATAGTTTTTTTCTTAGTTTTTGTTTTAAAATTTTGTAAATAAGTGATTTTTTTCCTTCACTGATATGCGCTAATGAGGCTGCAGTGATGGGCACTGATAGGTGGCACTGATGGACACTGATAGATGGCACTGATGGGCACTGATGAGGAGGCACTGGTAGGTGGCACTGATAGGCATTGACAGGAATCACTGATGGGCACTGGAAGGCAGCACTCATATATGGCACTGATAGGTGGCACTGATAGGCTGTACTGACTGGCACTGATAGGCGGCACTGGCTGGCACTGTTAGGTGGCACTGACTGGCACTGTTAGGTGGCACTGATAGGCAGCACTGACGGCACTGATAGGAGGCACTGATTGGCAGCCCTGATAGGTGGCACTGACTGGCACTGATAGGTGGCACTGATTGGCAGCACTGATAGGTGGCACTGACTTGGCATTGATAGGTGGCACTGACTGGTACTGATAGGTGACACTGAAAGGCAGCGCAGATGAGCACTGATATGTGGCATTGATGTGCACCGGTAGGCACTGATATGTGGCATTGATGTGTTCACTGATGGGCTCTGGCAGGTGGCACTGATGAGCACTGACAGCTGGCATTGATGGACACTGACAGCTGGCATTGCTGGGGCTACACTGATCATCAGGGCACACTGATCAGTGCCCTGATGATCAGTGTACATGTCCCCTAAGAGGAATGCCGATTACCGGCTCTCCTCTCCTTTTGAGCCATCAGCGTGACAGCTTGTGAGGAGAGAAAAATGCCGATAACCGGCATTTCCCTATTTACATGAGATCATCTGTGATTGGACACAGCTGATCACATGACCGAGCCGAAATCTTCGGCTCTTTCCATTGATCAGTGATCCGCTGTGTCCGAGGGACACAGCGCACAGCAGATCGCCGCGTTGCTTGCTCCCGGAGCCGCGCATGCGTTGTTAGAATGGGAAGACGTCATCCCAGAACGAGAGAACCGCCTTGTGCCCATCATTTCCTTATATGGTGGGTGGGAGGTGGTTAAATAATCAAATCTATTTTGCAGAAAAATACAGTCACTCTTGTCAGCTTCCACAAATTTTGGGGCGCTACTCAAAAAAATCAAATACATATATAGTGATAATATAGAATCAATCACAAAAATAGTTCATGTAAACAAACTAAAAACTCTGCATTTATATACAATGGATAAACAAATAAAAGTCCATATTATGAAAGTGATTAGAAATAGGTTCACATAAGTGCTGCTACGACAATCACTCCATAGACAATGGTGTCAGTGTTATTCTCCACCATATATACTGTAGATGGCCTTTTACCAAATTATTAGATATCGATTGCAGATAATACTTACAAGATCCAAGAAAACTCGAGCATAAAACAAACAAACTGAGGATGTGTTCACAGCATGCAATGTACATCACTGGCTAAGTCCCTTGTGCAAGGGTACTCATACACAAGTGTATATTGATCTCTGCAATCAAGATCTAATCATTTGGTAAGAGGCCATCTATATGTGGTGGAGAGTAACACTGATACCATTGTCTATGGAGTGATTTTCATCACAGCACTTATGTGAATTTACTTTTAATCATTTAGTCATTATTTTAAATGGAATAACACTATTGTGGCTCCCGTTGTTTTCTTTGGGGAGTGCTGGTGAGACACCCAGGGTTTATTTACTAAAGCTGGAGAGTCCAAAATCAGACTCCCTTCTGCATAGAAACCAATCAGCTTCTAACCTCAGCTTGTTCAATGAAGCTTTGGCAATGAAACCTGGAAGCTGATTGGTTTCTATGCAGAAGTGAGTCTGATTTTGGACTCTCCAGCTTTAGTAAATAAACCCCCCAGTGTCTGTTCATGATACAAGCAACTGCATGGTGGACTGCAGTGGATCTTGTGCAAGGGCACACATACACAAGCATATTTTGATCTCTGCATTCGAGGTCTAATCATTTGGTAAGAGGCCATCTATATGTGGTGGAGAATAGCACATTGACACCATTGTCTGGAGTGATTTTCATCATAGCACTTATGTGGCCTTCTTTCTAATCACTTTCATAATATGGACGTTTGTTTGTTTATCCGTTGTATATAAATGCAGAGTTTTTAGTTTGTTTCACATGAACTATTTTTGTGATTGATTCTATATTATCACTATATATGTAATTGATTTTTTTTTTGGATTAGCGTGCCATAGTTTGTGGTTGATTGTTTATGGCACTGTTTGGGCTATTTTTGGTTACAGCACTTATTATATAATATTTATTTCATTTCACCAAGCTCAGTGTATTCCACAAGGGTTTACTTTTGTCAGCTTGTCAGCTCATAAGCAGTGTGTATTTTATGAGCTTGCACATTTTTGGAACCTATTGCTCGATCATTTTTACTGTAATTATGGGAGCTGTTTTTATTCTTCTTACTTTTATACTGATTCCAATACTTATATTTTTGCATTAAACCAATATTAAAATTGTGGGGGTCATCAATGGGACAATCTCATTCCCTTTCTATTAGTCCTCTAAATCCCTATTTAAATTGTCCACCTTATTAATAAGAGAATCTTCAATTTTTTTTATAACCGTATGTTTCAAAATGGGCAACCATTGATGGATCAGACTGATAGCAGAGTAACTCTCCAAACCATGAATTAGAGACAAAATGGTTTTATGATAGATTTGCAACTTTCTTGAATAACAGTGTTTATCCATTCCTTATTCAACTCCTGAAAACCCCTTGTTAAATTATTCTTAGCCCTTGAGGAGTAATATTTAAATCTAAAATTTTATTTAAGAAAAAAAGTCCCACCACTGGGTGTCATTTGTGTTATTATGATCCTCAGACTTGTGGAACAATTTTCTAACTCATGCACAATGGATCTGTGAAGTATGGATAGATAGCATATACTGGAACTGGAGCCCATTTCTAAGGATGACATAGTGAACAGGAATTCTTTTTTCCTAGTCTTTTTTCCCTACAACGGGCTTGTACAAAAATATGGAAACACTATGTTTTTCAGATATGAAAGTGACAATATGTTTCCCGTTGAAAGCGGAAATTATATAACATTTATTTTTGCTTTCTTTGCGTGATGAGACGCCTAGCTACCAGGCGGGAAGCCTCACTTTCATCATTCACTGTGTGCTCTGCTTGTAATATAGATTCATATCAGAGCTTACTGAGTTTCAAAGAGGACAAATTAATTATTGGTGCCACTTAGCTGGTGCCTCTGTAACTGAAGTTGCCAATTTATTTGCGGTTTGAGGTACAGTATCCAAGGCTATGATGGCATATACAGTTTCCAGGAAAACATTGTCTGATTAGCATGGTCAACTGACCAAAACAAGCAAAAGAACACTGCGCAGGATTGTGATACAGAATAAAAAAAACAACTGCTGCAAAAGTGATTGCAGAGCTCAATCTTAGGTTTTCAAACCCTTGTTCACAAAAACTGTGCGGAAGGAACTCCATAAGTAAAACAATTACAGGCAAGCTGCAATTGCCAAACCACTAGTGACCAATATTAATGCTCAGAAGAGGACAAAGTGGTGCCATACCCATGAAATATATGGACTATTGATCAATGGAAGACTGTAATATGGTCCAATTAATTAAGCTTCACACTGTTCCCAACCACCAGATGTGTTTATATGTGGTGAACACTGTCCCAAGCTTACAACAATGACTGTCTTGTGCTAATGATAAACCACGGTGGCAGCACGATAACAGTCTGGGCAGCCATATCATGGTATTCTTCAGGCCCCATCATCATCTTGAAAGGTAGAGTCACTGCCAGCAACTATTCACAAATGTTGGCCAATCAGGTGCACCTCATGGTGCAGACATTGTTTCTCAAAGATAGTGCTATTTACCAAGATGATAATGCACACAGATGGTGTTGTCAAATAACGGTTTGATGAGCATGCTGACAAAGTATTGCACCTTCCCTGGGTGTCGCAGTTGCCGGATATCGTAGAGCCACTATGGTCAATTTTGGAAAACAAGGTCTGGGCTCATATTCTGCCTCTGGCATCTCTGTGAGAACTTGAATAATTTTTGTATGAATACTTATTTTTTAAATTCCCAGGAGAATTCAGGCTGCCTTGGATGCGGTTAAAGGTGGTCAAACACCATATTAGGTAATAATTTCAGTTTTTTTATCTGGTGTTTCCATAATTTTGGCTGACCCCTGTAGAATCTATAAGCTGAAATAGATTCATATCAGTAATTTAGATCTGAGAAAATCAGTTAAGGCTGGAGCAATACAGGGCTTGTTGTGGTACAATCAGGTACAGCAAACACATGTGGTCCCAATATAAATATACACATTACTAAAATGTAAAAACAAATGGCACTCCCAAACCTCCAATCCAATAAAAAAAAAAAAAAAAATCAGCTTTGTAAATGGTGAAAGGTTGACTAAAAAGGATATTATAATGAAGTCCACATAAACAACCTCAGAGCTAAAGGACCCAACTTGTGAATAGTGGACCAAGCAGAAATGGAGGATTAATGGCAGATCAAGGGTTAACAGCACCTCTCCAAAAGGATCAGGCAGGATCCAAACACATTAAGGAGCATAAAAGAAAAGCAGTGGTGCAGGGAGATGTCAGTGGCTTGCAACTTTAATACAAGGGAAACATAATATCCACTTACATTGTACCAAATGATGATTGGCACTTCGTAGTACAGAGACACTGGCACAGCAGGAGATAACAGGGCTGAACAGTGTGACAGGCTGATACAGCATAGCATAACACAGTGATACTGCTGTGAACAGAGACAATTTGACCAACTGAAAAATTGTTACTGATTTCTAGTTTTTCATTGATTAAAAAGGGAAAAAAGAAAATATTGAATTTGGCCATTAGATGGAACTAAGTATGATAAGAACATTCCTATGATACTTAGTGCTATCTAGTGACCAAAAACAGTATTTTCCATTTGAAAGTAATGAAAGACATTTGACCAGCACAGGAAATACCCTAAATGTTTTTGTACCTTTCGCACAGAACAAATGCACATGCACTTTCACTGGATGAGTTAATAAATGAATCAAATGGTGAAGCGCTTTCACTTAACCCTAAATCCTGACATATACTGTACATGCCCCATACAAATAACATATATCTGAAAACAATATAAGCAAATAATATCAATCATAAATCTCTTCAGATATTTAAATAAATATTACACCAATGTGCAATGGCAGTATATCCCCAAGAATAGTTTAAATGGTAGAAAACAAAAATTCCATTGATCAAGTCCCATACACCATTTAGTTTCCCAAAGCAGATCCAACGTCAATCATTGCATCAACATGGGGACAATGTGTATTGAGGGTGAGCCCACCTCCCCCAAATCACCCCCCGTATGTTAAGGACACGTGGGCTGATATGGTTCAGAAGGGGGGGATTGCTTGCTGATTCCCCCCCCCCTTTCCTGTCTTGTCAGGTTGCATGCTTGGATAAGGTTCTGATATGGATTTTAGGGCCCTTTTGTTTAAAATTTTGGTATGACGGAAAAATGTTTAAAAAATTCAGAAAGGTTTTTTACTCTATTGTGGCGACTTCAATGCTATTGTCCATAGGTCTTTGGATGTTTCAGGGTAGTCACAGGGAATGCGGTATTCTATGGCATTGACTCCTCAGGAGTCAAATCTCTATGATTCTTAGAGATGTCTCCATGA